AAAAAAAAATTAAAAAAAAAAAAAGAGACTGGAGATGGTTGTCATCCAGTGTGCATGATGGCCCCAGAACACCCTCGCCTGCTGCCTCTTCACGGGGGCTGAACTGGCAGAAGGATGCAACTGGCTGGGTGGCTCAGTGGGACACACAGAAGGGTCCACCCACACATGGGCAATGGCTGCCTCCAGGGCCCTGCCCTGCAGCTGTCACTTGGAGACCATGCAGCCCAGCTGGGCAGTGACAACTATCAGTGTGGGCCAGGGTGGGGCTTGCAGGCTGCCTGCCTGTTCCCCAGCGCCCACACCCTGAGCACCCAGGAGGGGGCAAGGTCTGGACACCTTGAGACTGGGGTCCCCTGTGTGTCCCTCTTGTGGTCTTTGCCACTGTACCAATGACTGCAGAGCCAGTGCCACCCCTGCCTGACCAGAGAGCACCACCTGCAGAAGGACAGTCCTCCCCGGCTCCACAGGCCTGTCTGTCCTCTTCTGCCACAAAACGGTAATTCTGCATTATTTTAAAATAAAACTATAATTGTTTCAATCATTTTCTCACAAGGTGTGATTTGCACGCAATGGAACATGCAGTCACTGCAAACCCTGAGGAGAGCTCTGGAGTCCCTCCCCAGAGGCACTGGATAACCTTGTGTCCTCTCGCGTGGAGTTCATGTACTCCCTGAGGACCCCAGGACACGGACACGGCCACCACAGGGAACAGCCAAAAGGATGATGGGATTGGGCTGGAGCTTGGCAGCATCTAGTGCTCCAGTGAGTGGCAGAGCAGCAAGTGCTGGTCACCGCATGGTCCCCATCAGCACTTCCTCTTTGCCTGCGGCCATCTCTGGGTAGCCTATACTTCTGGAGGGCAGAGAATTTACCCGCCCCCCCACACCACCAGTTCCTCTAAAAGCCACAATATGGCACGTGACAATGGCCAAGGGCAGCAGGGTATGTCCCAGCGGTGCAAATCTGGTAGAAAACCCATCCTACCCACAGGTCAGCCTCAGCCACACAGCCTTCCCTCCACCTCTCCCTGGGGGACCTGGAACAGATGGGGATAGACCAGAAAGGACCCCCACGTCTGCTTCTCATCGCCTGTCACCTTGGACAACCACATGTCCCAAGCCTAGGACAGGTCCATCAGCTGTCACGGAAGAACTGCTTGACGCGACATCAGCCCACGACAGGCACCCGATGAACAGTGGCAGTGCCTGTGCAATCTGAACTCTGGGTCTGCGCATGTTTTTCTTTTTCTCTGGCAGCTTCTTGGCATCCTGAGAGACAAGCCTGTGGAGTGTTTTGAAGGGAAAACAGGCCCCCCACCTTTCTCCGAATCCTCTGTCATGTCTTCTGGAATCCCAGGAGCAGCCAGGCACTGGGGGACCAGAGAGGCCTGGCTCTGGTGCAGGATCCCAAGGCAGGCTGCATCCCTGCGTGGGAGGCATAAGCAGACACGAAACTCAAAGGCCACTGCCATGGCTGGGCTCCGCTGCTCATGAGAATTTTAACAATCTAGGTAGGACGTTTTCCCAGCTCAGAAGCTGCCTGCTTGTTTGTGTTGCAAATCAATCAATGGGAGAACAGGATGGAGGAGGGAGTGGGCGAGCAGGCCTGGTGATGCCCTGTGTGGGCGGCTGCCTGCTCAGACCTATTTTTGGCAGGGTTGGCTCAGTGCTGGAGGCCGGGCAGCGCAGTGGGCTGGGCAGGAACCAGGGACACCAGGAAGGGTGGCGTGGTCAAGGCCGGCTGGGGAAGGTGGTGATGCTGCTTGGGTTACAAAGTGCCCAGTGACCTCATCCTTGCCACGAAGGCCTCCTGCATTCTCACGGCAAACAGGGACCCACGCACCGAGATGAACGCAGCAATGAGTTCTTTGCTCTTGGGGAGCTGCCAGTCTGGAAGAGGTGACGCAGTGATGCTGGTGTGACAGGAGGGGACACAAGAGTGAGGGAGACCCGAGGATGAAGACAACCTCTGGCTCACAGAGTCCTGGCAAGAGCTGGGGCTGGCTTTCTGGGAGGGAGCAACAGCTAAGCCAAGTCCTGCATGGTGAGGACCATCAGCTGCGTAAAGGATCCGACTGCTCAAGAGGAAAGGAAACCCCCGATAGGTGAGCAACCTGCGCACAAGGCAACAGAAGGTGCTGTGCGCAGAGGCCCGGAGTTAGAACAATGTGAGCGGGCTTTTCCTACTGCTTCTGGGTTCCTAGATGTCTCAGAGACAGTGAAACACAATGAAAGCCAAGAAGGCGGCCTCAGGTCCCCTTCCACCTCCCACTCCACTTCACCAGCTGTGGGGCTGCAGGCAAGCTGCTTGGCTTCTTTGCGCCTCAGTTTCCTCCTCTGAGACTGGCCATATTGTCACTGCTTGGGAGGATTTGCACAGATTCCATGCAGGTGTGTACAGAGTGCCAGGGGGTGCCACCAATCCAGGGCGGAGCCCTCTGTTGGGCACGCCCCTTTATGAGGGACACTCTGTGGGGTTCTCACAGGAATAGCCCTGCCCAGCCCAGGAAACCATGGGGACTCTCACTCTCCACACCCAGACCAGCATGTGACAGACCAGCATCACCTCCTTCACCCACAGGACTACCCAAGGGTCCGTGGAGCCTCCGGGAGGAAAAGCCCTGACCAGCCACAGTCACACACCGGGGAGGAAGCCCAAGACCTAACTCAGCCATGGCTCTAAGTGGCTGGGACGACAAATGAGTGTAATGACTGGTCTGTAAGACAACCCTGCCTGTGAACTCATTTCCCACCTCCAGAAGACCCACACGGGATTCACCCAAAGCCCCCTGCTGCCAGCTCCTTCCTAGCACAGGGCCTTTGCATTTGCTGCTCCCTTTGCCCAAAATGCTCTGGCTATGACCTTCATGTGGCTGGTTCCTTGTTATTCGGGTTTCTATCACCCCAAAGAAATGGACCCTCCCCCATTCACATTCCCTGTGTTGTCTGGCCCAGCCGGCAGGCAAACCCTGTGGATTGGTTTGTTTACTGTGTGTGGGCCCTGGGAACATTAGCTTCTCTAAATTCCCAGCCCTTGGCCCCTAAATATTTGGTAAATGGATACAAGGGTCCAGACTGGCCCTTTCCCTGTCAAAGGCCTGGGGAACCCTTCCATCGACCTAAATTGAGACATCTGAGAGCATTCTTTCTCCCTTCCTATCTAACTTCAGAACCTCCTCCCTGGTCCTCTTTGTCAGATCTCCACTTTGAGTATGAAACGTGAGCTGCAAGCAGCAAGGAAGGAGGCAGCCAGCACCAGCCACATCTAGGAAAGCTACCCAGCCTGAACACGCATCTGCCATCCCCGTGAGAGGCTGTACCCAGGAAGTGGACAGGACTCCCAGCATGCTCTGTGCCCCATCTTCTGTCAAACCCACATCACTCGTGGAATTCCCCCGAATGCCCTGAGTGTGCCCATGGGGGGCGCCCTTCCCGCAGGAATCCCAGCTGTACTGACACCCCCTGCCCCAAGAGGAGGTGGCAGGAGACGACAAGAGAACACTGGAGAAATAACGAACACTGGAGAAACCTGAGAAAGAATGGGCCTGGGAACCCTTCGTCCTCCACTTTAGCAGTGGGGGTCAGGTTTGTGCAACTTTTTGGTGAAATGTTTGCAAAGTTCACAACGGAAATATATAGAAGTTTACTGAGAAAAGCTTACACCCCTTCACAGTTTCCACTGAATCTTCCACAAAAATCCTATCGTGGCTCCCACAAATAAAACAGTCACAAACACATACCCTTTCTTATCATCTAACAAAAAACTCTTTCACAGTATGCACACGGCACACTTTTTCTCTAGGTGGATGTAATTCTATTTACACACAGATAAACACATAAAAGGAAGTATGTGCACACACAGGCAAACTAGTTAGTAAAGGCTTTCTGAATTTTCACGCGGCTCTCCTCTGAAGGGCTGTTCACCCCGGGTCTGCAGGGGCTCCCTTTCAGCTGGATGGTGAAAGAGAGCTTCTGCTCGCAACGTAAAAGCAGGTGCCAGAAGCCAGCTCTTTCGCAGCAGTGTCTGCAGCTCCCACATCTTGCGCAGATATCTACCAGACACCAGCAGAACTTGGCTCCCTTGGCAATCAGAGAGGTAAAGTGACTGGCCCAAGGTCACACAGCCAGGGTACAGCTGGGGGGAGGGGGCTGCCCGAATGCCAGGCCTTCCTTTCTTGGGCTCACACCCCCTCGAGAGCCAGCAGCAGATCTGGGGGCCCCAGGCCAGGCTCAGGGTCGAGTGCCCAGAGCGACTGCACCGGCTTCCTCCATCACCTCGCTGCGGACAGCTCGCCCCATGCGCGCGGGCGGGTGCGGGGCGCAGCCTCTGCGGTTCCGGAGCCGGGAGGCGCCGGGCAAAGTGCTCTCCGCGCGTCCGCTCGCTCCGGCCCCGAGCCGCTGGCACCGAGGGCACCGAGGGGGCACGGAGGAGCCGAGTCCGCCCCTGGGGTCGCTCCCGGCCCGGCTCCCACCCTGCGCCGGCGACTTCAAAACTTTCCGCCCTGCCCTGCCGCGCTCGGCGCCCGGCGACTCGCAGCGCGCGGCCCCCGCCCGGGACGC